TTCCATCTTTCTTGGGAACTGGCACAATGTTAGCAACCCATTGAGGGTATTTGGCAACAACAAGAAAACCTACATCAAATTGCTTCTTGACCTCCTCCCTAATCTTCAATGACATCTCAAGCTTCATTCTCCTTAATTTCTGCTTAACCGGGAAACAGTCTAGTTTTAGTGGCAATTTATGCTCGACTATGTCAATATCTAGACTTGGCATATCTTGATAAGACCATGCAAAGACGTCATTATAATCATGCAAGAGTTTAATCAACTTGTCGCGCTCTTGTTTTTTCATGAGGGTGCCTATTTTGATATCTCTCTTATCATCTTCAGTCCCTAAATCAATTGTCTCAGTGGGTTCATCATGAGGTTGGATCTCTTTCACTTCTTGATGGACCAATCTTAGAAATTCTGAGGGTAAATCAACATCACTATCATCTTCGACAGCTTGATTAATGGGACAATCAAAATTAGTGGATGAGATATTAGCACTGTTACTTTCAGACATGTCACTTTCGAATCTGCATTGTGCGAGAGTTGAGACAAAAAGAAAATAAACGACAAGATTCAAATGATAAAAAAAAAGACACGAAAGATTACTAAGAATTCAAATTGCATTTCATTTAAATATACTTAAAAGGAAACATGTGTCCCAATTTACAAAACAAACTGATATTTCAAATTACAAAAAGAAATCATATATCAGTGTTTTCAAAAAGTAATGATATCCTAAAGCTTTGGGACGAAACAATAGGATTAGCTTCAATGATTACTTTGAATGGCCATTAAAAATCACAGGAAGTTTGATGATCTCCCAATTGCCAACTTCTATGTTTAGTGGACAAATGCGGACTAGGTTAACCTCTCCTTCTTCTGGTGCATCCACATCAGCAGTAGCCACTGAGTCTTGAAACTCAAATCGAGCACTATAGAAGCTCTTCAGAAGATCACAAATGGGGACCCCTTCAGTCTTAGGCTCCCTACCTTTCAACCTGGCTAGTCTTCTTTCTTTCTTTTCCTCCATGACTCTTCTCTTATCAGCTTTAGTGGGCGTGTATCCCAACCCAAATCTATCTTTATTCTCATGGAGCTGTAACCAGTTTGTTGCTTTCGATATGACTTGCCCTAACATGTATCCATACTGACAACCTCCATCAAGCATGACTTTAGCAGTCATTATGGATGTATTAGACAATCGAGGCTTTAAGATTGGAGCTCCCTCTCAAACATAAGTAGCATTCGCAATCTCTAAAGCCACAAAAGAGGTCTCTAGAGTTTCTTCAGCAGCTTCAATATAAGGAGTGGACGAAGGCTTACTCACCAACACATATTCTTCACCGGAGACAATCACCAACTTATTATAATGATAAACTTCAGTTTCTGATGCAATGTGGATGGTACAACTCCAGCAGAATGAATCCAAGGCCTCCCCAAAAGACAACTGTAAGCTGGCGCGATGTCCATTACTTGAAATAAAATTTGAAAAGTGCAAGGACCAATTTGGATTGGGATTTCAATTTCTCCAATGACCTCTCTCCTTGTTCCATCAAAAGCTCTTACTATCATGGCACTAGGTTTCATATGTGACCCATCACAAGGTAATTTTGACAATGTTGCTTTTGGCATCACATTCAGAGAGGACCCATTGTCAATAAGCACTCTAGCAATAATGTGATCTCGACATTTCACAAAAATATCCAGTGCTTTATTGTGCCCTATTCCTTCAGCAGGTACTTCATCATCAGCGAATGTGAGATAATTGTTTGAAACAATATTACCAACAATGCCTCCAAACTTGTCGGTAGTGATATCATGGCTGACATGAGCCTCATTCAACACTTTCAAAAGAGTCCTTCTATTTGGATCAGAGTTCAACAACAGCGATAAAAGAGATATCCGTGCTGGAGTTCTGTTTAATTGTTCCATAACTTGATATTCACTTTGCCGAATAAATTTCAAAAACTCACAAGCTTCTTCATCTAACACTGCTTTCTTTATTTCAGGCATTTTCTCTTCGTCAGCATCTTCAAACTCACCCACTTTGGCTTTCCCCTTTGAGGATCTCTCTATCTCTTTTGTTCGCTCCTTTCTCAGCTCCTTAGGTGTGTAAATACGATCGCTACGGGTCATCCCACCAACACCAGCAATGTTTGAGACGACGAGAGTATCAGAATTGACACCTTGTGTTTGGTTTTCCTTAAAATTACTGACATAAACCCCTGCATCATATTTCCATGGTACTGCTTTGTTGTCCTTGTAAGGGAATGAAGTCGGTACTTGTATAGTGATGGGTCTAGGTCCATTGGTAGTTGGGGTATTCATACATTTGGTGTAACGAATGACCAAGGGTTTCGGGAAAGCTGAGGATTGCCCATCAACAGTCAAAACTTCATTTTTCTCCTTAAGGTGCCCGATTTGGACCAAATGCTTGTCCATCAGGGTTTGCAGAACATGCTTGAATTCTTCACAATCTTCAATGGAGTGGTATGCATTAGGGTGCAAATCACACATATTTTCTTCATGTACAAAACCCTTGATCAAGTCAGCCTTGCACAGCTCATCAAAAACAACCTTAAGAGAAGTGGTAACCTCTTCAACTTTCTTCTTTAAATCATGTGCAGACTCTTCCTCGACGGCATTTACCGACGATCCTCCATGCCCAGGTAGGGGATTACTCCTAATGTTAGGATTATCCTCCTTGAAATTCAGCCATTTGGCATTAATTAAGTCTTGCACTTTGAACTTTAATGCCCTACAATTCTCTGTCGAATGACCAATGCCACCAGCATGATACTCGCACTTAGCATTTGGGTCATACCCTCTTGGATAGGGCGGTTCTACAGGTTTCATTGGACATGGTACAACTAATGAACTTTGGAATAAGCGAGTTAGTAACTCAGTATAGGACATGGGGATTGGGTCGAATTGAACTTGCTTCCTTTCTTGATTGTTTTGGGCTCTTATTTGGTTGGGATTTGGGTTTTGGTTCCAATGTTGGGGTGGTCTCATGGGTGGTGCTATGAGAAAAGTAGGCGGAGCGGGTTGGTAGGGGCGCGACTGGTAAGATTGAGGACTTGGATTCTGTGAAACAGCATTGACATATGGGTAAGACATTTGAGGGTAAGGAAATGTAGGTTGGAATTGAAAAGGTGCAGGGTTAGGTCTGATGAAAGGAATTTCTCTTGGCTGGAAAGCTATAGCATTGGTCTCTCCTTCCTTCTTTCTTCCTGGACCATTTGTAAATTTCTTCAAATTGGAAGGTCCGCCATAATTGTGAAATATCTTACCACTTCTCATTCCTCTTTCTACCCTTTCTCCGATAATCACAATATCAGAAAAGTTTGATGAAACACTTCCAATCATCCTATCATAGAAAGGCGATTGGAGAGTATCAATAAACATCGCTACCATTTCTTTTTCAGATAAAGGGGGCTCCACTTGAGCTGCAACTTCTCTCCATCTCTGGGCGTATTCTTTAAAAGTCTCATCCTCCCTTTTTAACATATTCTGCAGTTGTAATCTATCAGGAGCCATATCAATATTGTACTTATATTGCTTTAGGAAAGCATCAGCCAAGTCTTTCCAACTACGAATACGAGTACGCTCAAGATGCATATACCAACTCAAAGCTCCTCCAATCAAACTGTCTTGAAAAAAGTGAATTAGCAGCTTATCATCATGGGCACGTGATGCCATCTTCCTACAGTACATGATCAGAGGACTCTTTGGGCATGTCTTTCCTTTGTACTTATCAAAATCAGGCACTTTGAATTTTGGAGGAACTATCACATCTGGGACTAAGCAAAGATCCGCAACTTCTCCAATACCATAGCTGCTCCCCTCTTCAAATATTTACAATTTTTCTCTGGATTGGAAGTGTTCCTCTGCGTAATTGGGCTGGGGTTCTTCTGAGGTCTTATAGGAATGGAATGGTGATATGGCTAGGTTTCCATCAAGACTAGGATTAGTGATTTGTGGTTGGTGGTGGATCAGTTGGTTTGGGGTAGGTATAGTGTGGGGTATATAAGCTTCTTAGGGGTGGGTATTTTGAGGGCAAGCATATGATGAGATGAATGTTTGGGTTGGTTGGATTTGTGGACCTGAAGGTTGTGCAGGATTGGGTTGATTTGATGGTTGGCCAGTGTTTGGTGCGTTCTCAGCTATTGGTGGTGTATAACCTTGGGGAAGGCCATATGGGGGAAATTGGACATCTTGTTGATTGAAAGCTTGTTGTGGAGGCCTTTCTACATGCAAGGTCAAAGGCACCATTGTTTCATGAGGAGGAAAATTTTGGGACGGTCCTTATGTAGGGGTAAAACCTAGTGGATAGGTAGGAGTGGGTTGTGCTGGAGGTGCTTAAATAGGGGTCCCCTCTGTAGTTCTTCTCTCTAAAGACTTCAATGCCTCTAGGATTTGTGTAATTTGTTCTTTCAGCTGATTAACATCGTTTCTCAACTCTTCATTGTACTCCTCTAACTCATCCATGATCCTTGCTTGAGCGCGAGTTCTATAAGGATGCTTTAGAAAACGTTTCTCCGTTATATTTGTTTTAATTTTCTGAAATAGTTTGTAGTCAAAAAAGAATTAATCAAAATGAAAAATGCACTTAAAAATAACAACTAAAAATTAAAGAATCATCACAGTTGTTGAGCGTCTTCAAGTCTTTAATGGAAATTAATGTAGGATCCTCGTCAAATGAAACACACCAAAATATAATCCATAATCAGACTAAAACATCAAAGTACATCAGAATTTGATTCAAAATACATCTTCTTTTTCCTACCCATACATAGTCTACCCATACCCCACATCATTACATCACCCCTTCCTAGCCCTAGCTATCATTCCTTTCATCTCTGAGACCAACCAATTGCAATGGCTGAGGAAATCTTTAATTTCTTGAGGTGTCGTGTAGAAAAAGTAGCTATCTCGGCCTTTGACAACATATATGGGACGTCATCAATCGCGGCATTAGCTAATGATGCAAGTTGTATAAAACGCTTGATCTAATACTCAATGAGTTTATCTCCTTCTTCTATCTGACCATCTTTCACTTTCACAATAGCTTTGTATTCTTTCATGATTCTAATCACTTCCCATTTTTCAGCATTAATTTCAGCCTCGCATGCCATGACAATTTTCTTTATCTGCTCTTCCATGTTTTGCACTCGTGTTTGGAGTTCATTGGCTTGAGTCAAAGCTTCTTCTTTATCTCCTTTTGCATTGTATAATACACCCTTTAGTTGTCGTTTCTCATATAAGGCTGCATTTCGCTCCTTCACCCTCAATCCCAATTCCTTGCTTGCAGCCTCAAGGTAACGTTGAACTTTGGCTGCATGGCTTTGCACAGACTTCTGCTTCTTTCAAACCTCTTCATAGGCTTGTTGTTTTTCACTGTTTTCTCTCTTCAAAATGGCGCAAGTTTGACGGCTCTCTCGAAGCTCCCTTTCTACCCTCACATTCTTTTCAATCATCTTAGCCAGTCTTACCTTTAATTCTTTTACTTCTTCATTCTCAAAGGGTTCTGGATTAGATGGCTCACTTTCTTGGGAGGTACTTGGATCTTTGAATGGCAACTTAATCTCTTGGACTCTTTCTTTAACCCATTGACGGTAACTTGCTTTCGCTGCACAACTTCTCACGCCTAACTCTTTTCCTTTTCGAACAACCTTTGCCCAAGCATTCCTTGCCTTTTGGATAAGCTCGATGAAATTTCCATCTTCATAATAGACAACAAAAGGAACCAACAATTCCTCAGCAGGTGGTCCCATCATAGGATAAGCGAGTTGACGTTGTCCCATAATTAGATTGTAATTAATACAACCCCGAGTACCCATAAGAGGAACATTTGGGTAATTGCCACAGTGATAAATAATGGTCGTTGACTGTTGCCATGGAGTGTGCCACCTGATGTGTCCTTCATTCACACTGGCTAAGTGATTAGCCCACTCTTGACCATTTTTCTGCCTAGTCTGAAACCTCAGCAAATTAGTTATCGGACACTTGATCTCACTTGGCCTTTTAAAGACATGAGTTGTGAGCCATATATAAAGCATAGGTAGACAACATATAATCCTCTTTCCTTTCCTTTCATGGCAGAAACTCAGTGTACAATAAACATCAGCTAGTAGTGCAGGGACAGGATTTTCAGATCGATTTTTGCATGCAAGAAACACATCTATTGATACTAAATCCACAAAGTTGTCATGCTTAGGGAAGAGGACAATGCCATAAATGGTGAGTGCTAGGACATCCATGAAAGTCTCCCAATCTTCTTTTTCTGCCAAATTATACGTTTGTCGCTCAAGAAATTCTCTTGTGAATCCCCTATTCTGATGTTTTTCTTGATAAGCTTGTTGTAACTCAGCTGGATGAATCCTTAAGACATTGGCGATAGTCGGCAGAGATGCATGATGTTCCATAGGGCGATATGGCTGTCGACCCTCCAAAGGCAAGTCTAGAATTTGCTCAAATTCCTCTAAGGTCGGAGCCAACTAAAAATCCTGAAAAGTGAAGCACCTCAACGGGGAATCATAATACTGGGCTAGAGCTGTTATGACATCTTCTTGCACATTCACTTCCATCAATATCAAAATATTTTCATACCTCCTCACTAAAGTGAGTTGTTGGACTGTCTTTAGCTTCTTTCCTAACCCTCTCAGACTAGCCGTGTCAGCCATTTTAACTCTCAGATGCAATTTCCTTCTCAGCTCAACTGATCTCACATCACTGCTACTTGATCCCACATTAATTTCCATTTTCTTGAATACTCAAACAACTTTGTGATTCTCAACCTATAAATAAAAGAAAATGATGAGAAATTATTTCAAATTTTGTATTTGTTTCATTAACATAGGATCCTAGTAGCCATAAGGATTAATATTGATTCTAAACAAATAAACGTCCATATAAGAATCAACATTAATCCTAAATGAATCAATAATCCACTAGGATTTTTATTAATGAAACAAATTTGTGATGACTATGATAATGCAAGAACAATATGAATCACTACCCTTTTTAAGTTCTTTTTTCAATTTTTTCTTTCGATAAATCTAAATTGATACTTATAAGGGTAACGCTTCATATGACAATGCAATGATGTAAGAAATTATGCAAATTGTCATCCTTAACCTTATTTCAAAACTGATTTTAAATTTATTACAAGTGTCACAAGGATGACAATAAGCATGATATTCAAATAAATGATATGCAATGATAAATGAAGTGATGATGATGTAAGAAAAATTAATTAAGAGAATCGTGTGAATCACTAGTCCTTATATTATTCCAAAATATAGTAAAAAAAAATTCTTCTCCTTTTTTATTTAAAACTTTAAAGCACTAATAATTCACATAATTTCTAAAAGAGTAAATAAGGAAAAAATACCCCCTTTTGTGTCCTATTTCAAGTCACCTAAAGGGTCTAACTTAAAGATCTACAACTTTCTTTTACGTGTAAAAACTCACAAAAGGTGGCTTATAATCATAAAAGGTCACTAGAGCTAAGATCCAATCCTTGATGTTGACCACAACAGTAGGGAGTCTACTAGATGCGAGACATCAAGAAAAGGTCAAACTCTAGCTAGGGTTTTCACGATAGCCAAATAGGACGTGCATCCAAAATGACACCGCTACATAACCCCTCTAATCCTAAGCATACTCAGACCCGGGTATAGGGGCCCACTCAAGGTGTGTGATGAATGTGTAAGTGGTAGTGTGTGAGGGAGCATACAAACCTTATCAACTCAATCAAAAATAAAAAGCTGCAAAAATTAAACAACACGAGAATAGCACAAATTATCGATAGTCATCTACCCTAGGATTAATAACAATATCAATATGAGTATACAATGAGATTACGCAATTCATACACGAAATACATGCACGAATACAAGAAACACTACAATTAATTCAAATAAATAAGAAAAAGAAAGGGATTAAACAAATAGAAACAAAATAAGACAAATTTGCACAATCAATTATAAAGGCTTGACTCTCTAAAAGATTTCCCGAGTGGAGTCGCCATCTGTCGCAACCGGGCGGTCGCAACGGTACGGCGAAAAACATTTTCAAAAATATCAGAGGAGTCGCCACCAAAGTTTATTTTAAGAAAAACCTTGGAAAAACTTAAATATAATACGATCTTTGAAACCAAAAATGAGTTCGGGAGTCATTTACGTGTAGGGAAGGTATTAGCACCCTACAACGTCTGTTTAAAAAACGGTTACTTAAAATTAATTGTGCAAATTCATTCTAATTTTGAAAAATATTTATTTAACTCCTAAACATTAATTATTTTTATTTTAGAAGAAGAAATATTATTTATTGAGATATTACTTGGATTACTTTTAAAAATTATTTTTGACTTGACAGGTTCGATTCCCGCTCCTACGTATCCCCGAGTGCAATGAGGAACTCAAAGCCACGTAGTTCTATCTAAAAATTATGAAATTAGTTTATTATAATTAAGTTTAGTAAAAGGAAATTTATTTTGAAATTAAAATTATTTTCGTAAAATTATAATGCTAGAATACAAGATAACGCGATTATACATGTACCTTATGAGAAACAATACAGAAAGTGAAGGAAGATCACATAACTATACTGCAAATCGTTAAAAATATTTTATTCGTAAATGAAGTATTTGAATTTTAATTTTGAGTATGATTAATGTTGAAAGAGAATTTAAGATAGCGTAAGCTATACATTAACCTCTTATAATTTTTGGATAATCGAAGGCAATGTAAATTACACATCGATATTATAAAAAGAAAATAAAAACAGTATAATATAATAAAAATGGAGAAAGGATTTGTTATTTAACTTATCGGAATCAGAGATATGATTCAAGAAATTTTAAAGTATAAAATTAATTTCAATTAATGAAATGAATAAATATATTTGAATTGATTAAAAAAATATTTAATAATAATAATAAAAAAATTAAAAATTTGTTTGATAAATTTATATGGTATAGAACCTAAGGTAATGTTGGTACACATAGGTTCTAATAAAATAATTTATTGTGTTAATAAAATAATTTCTATTTAAATTGATTGATTAGTAAAATAATGATTATGAAGAATACATTTTGATTGATTATTAAGATAATTTTATAATTTATTAAAGATGATATATGATAAATTAATATTGCCTAAAGTTTCGGTAACGTCAATACACGTAAACTTTGTTAATTTATAACATACAACGGTAGAGAAGCTACACACTAATGCCATAGATTGATGCAAATATTATGTTATATTATTATTACATTGAAGAGAGTAAATTACAAATATAAATTTAAATTATATCAACACTCTACAAACATACAATAAATAAATACAAATATTAGAAGGTAAATAATCAAAATAATAATTAAGACATAAATAATGGAATAACATAAACAATATTAAAGAGAATTTATTGTTAATATTAAAATAAAATAAATTTTACAAATAAAAATACAATTTGCATATAATATGATAAAAAATTATGTTTAATCAATTTTAATGATTTTTTTATTATAATTATTCTAATTATCATTGCTTAAGAGATATAAATGAAATCTAAAGATTTAAAGTAAAATATGATAAATAAAATTAGACAGCAAAGTAAAACTATAAGGCTGGAAGAAAAGAAAAAAAAATATAGAGATAGGCTCAAATAAATAAAAATAAAAATAAAAATAAACTTAACCGACAGAAAAAAAAAAAACGCCTAACAACTAAACGAAAAAAAAAGAAAAAAAGATAATACAATAATTAAGATCAGGCCAAGTAAATTAAATGATGTCCAACAGCTTAGACGTAGGCGCAGTCTTCAAATTGCATATTTGACATTGTACAATCAAATCATTATATTAAAATAATAGTAAATGTTAACAAATATAAAATAAATAAAAATAAAAAGGTGATAAAAGGGATGATTTGAGAAAGTGCCCGTGCCTACATCTTACATTTCTATCAAATCAAGTACAACATACCTAATAAAATAATATTAAATCCAAAAAAGAAAGATAAAGTTGATTTAAGCATGATTTTGTGCTAGGGGCATACATCCACACAGAATAAAAACAACCGAGCTTACAGAGAGCCAGTTTAAACGGCAGGGAAGAAATAATCTTACTTAGAGTAAGTTTAAGAAAACAATCGGATAAGAAAAAAAATAAACTTACCGGTACGACGATTCAAATGGTAGAATAGTTGTTAATGGTATATTATTTTTTTTTCTTCTCCTTCTTTCTTAAGACTCGGATCTTGTTCTTAAAAATTTTGCTCTCTCTGAAAATTTTTTGCCTTCTTTTTCCCTTCAAAAAAATCCCCCTCACCAAATCTCTTGCTTGAGATTTTATACTGGGTTCCTTTAGGATTTATACAAAATGCCAAAATCTGAGCCTTTCCCTTTTCATGCATTCAGTCGGTTTTGAAACTGGTGTCTCAAACTGCATAGTGCAGGGATACCATTTCCATGAACCAGTCTCTTCCTTTTTTCAAAATTTTAATGTAAAATAATTTTATTTTATTTTTATAAATTAAAAAAAAAATTGGAAGCCATTCCGAAAATACAAAAATTGGTATTCACACTATGACAGGACAAAACATATTGATGTGAGACATCATTTTATCCAAAAAATTGTTGCTAAGGGTGAAGTCGTGGTTCAGAAGATTCATACATCTGAGAATCCAGCTAATATACTTACTAAGTCTCTTCCAAAGGCCAAGTTCCAACATTGCTTGGACTTGGTTGGTCTCTCCAGCACTTGAACGCCCTTCGAAGTTTAAACGACATCGAGCAATTTATCAAAACTGATCCAAGGTGGAGATTGTTAGTCAAAATTGGATGGTGTTAGTCAAAATTTGTAGGCACAATTTGTAGGCACCGCTAATTTGTGGTTCAGTTTTTCAATTGGCACTGACAGACATTTAATTCATGTAGGCACCGTCTAAAATTGCATCGAATTGTCAAAATTTGTTACAGTAAGTAAGTTACTGTAGCAACATTGAAAAATTAACAAATCATTGTAGCAAATTTTGCTTATAAAAGACAATGAAGCAACGGAGGTTTAGGCGCACATCATTCACGGATCAGTGAAAAAGAATTACTGAGAGAAAATTGTGAGTGTTATTTTGTAACTCTTATTCCATTTTGAGAGAGTAATTATTGAGAGAAAAATAGAGAGATTTATTACTCTTTGCCCTCATAATTTTAGAGGACTTCTTGTACTCTCCCTTTTACATAGTGGAATAACTTTGCTCGTCGTCGTCCGTGGATTTTTTCTCTGATTTGGAGTTTTTTCTACGTTAAAATCTTGTCTCTATTATTCTCTTTCTTCTCTTTATTTTCAATTAAATTCGATCTAGTCTTCTGCATTGCATTGATACCTCAACATCTTTAAAATGCAAGTTGAACAAATTGAGCTTCTTTTTCATTGACTCAGCTATAACATTAGGCTCCTCTGAACTCATTGTTGTCTAGGTTCCACAAGTTTAACACCTCATCCCACTAGCTTCTTAGATAAAGTTGAAGGCTTGGTTGGACTTTTTCCATGTTCTTTTACTTTTTCCATGTTCTTTTGCTCCCAATCTTTTCCCAAAATGCTTCCCATTGGATTAGGTTCTACCTTACACTGAATGAATCTCAAGTTACTCATCATGAAAACATAACCCAAAGCAGGGTTGATGTAGTCTGCCAAAGTGCTCTCTAAAAGCTCTGTTATTTGAGTCAACCGATCCTAAATTGAAGGAGAGTCCATGGT